ATAACATAAATAGTGAAAAGTGGGTGTTACGTATAGTGGCATTAAGTGCCGTAATGTGCACCTCTACCTACCCCTTTGGGGATAGAAGGCATGATGTTATGTTGTGTTGTGTAAACTTGTGTATATCGTTTTCTGCCTTAAAAAGAATGGTTGGTACTCACTTGTAATAACATTTAGTGGGATCAGGATGCAGGTCTGGGCAGGTGAAGGACTCAGGACAGAGGCCACCATCAGCTCGCTCCACAGGTGTGCATCCCAACTCTGTGTAGAAGCTGGCCATGTCACATTCACCCGCCATGTCCGTAGACACTACTCCTAGCACTGGAAATCAAAACAGAAGTATTATAATAAATGCGATAATTTTCTTAGTCTGTTTCATGGACTAAGAAGGCAGAAGCCACGGATCATCGTCTGTAATGACCTATACTTTCATAGTTTCGTTCGGTCTTCCTTTTAGATTTTGGTCTTTTATTATAACAGTAGTTCCTTAGGTCTCCAGTCCCTAGTCACGTTATCACGTCGAAGTAAGCTACAAAGTAATTAAAGTAGTACTTACAGATTTAGGTCTACAATTTTGTCTATAATTTCGTCTACATGTAGTTTTTCCTATCCAAAATAAAACACCTGCAATTTTGGTCTATCTTTATAACAAGTAGTGCCTGGGGTCACGTTATCACGTCGAAGTAAGCTACAAAGTAATTGAAGTAGTAGTACCTACTACAGAGATCTAGGTCTACAATTATGTCTATAATTTAGTCCTATGAAATTGATAGGAATGCTGACGATTGCGTATTGGCGGTATTTGAACTATATTAAAATACCAATTGAAACCTAAATGAAGTAAAGACTGTAAAATCAGAATTTAAGGATAAATTGCTATATTTTACTAAAAAATTCTCTTTAACACAGAATCTTAATTATTTTTAAGTGTGGTAGCGATACCACGGCCTTACAGAAAACCGACATGAAACAACGATTGCGTTGTATTTCGTCAAGGGGCTTGATTGCAATTCCTGGGTCAGGCAAAATACCTGATGGGACTCACAATATAACTGGTGAATAGTGGGTTACATTAAACTTAATCTACCGACAACTTTGTAGTTGTCTGTAGAACTACGGAACTCTCAGACCTAAAGAATACTTTAAACCATGAAAATCCCTACAACATAACATCACGCCTTTTTATCCCCGAAGGGGTAAGCAGAGGTGCACATTACGGCACGTAATGCCACTGTACAATGTAACACCCACTTTTCACTATTTATGTTATGAGTCCCATGTAACATGTAATAGGTAATTATTTATTAATTAATTATTTATTTATTATTAATTAATTATTTATTATGTAACATGTAATTATTTTTAAAAAACCCAGTAATACTTTACTCGACCCGGGAAATCGAACTCGAGACCTTTTGCTCTTGCTCATGCCCGAGTCGCACTTGCGATCACCCGGTCAACGAGGCAGTGAATAAAGAAGCCTTTTTAAAAATAATAAAACCACAAGTTGAACTTTTAGAAACCTCGAAGCTGTGGTAAAGGCATACGTGCCTAATAAGTACTTAGATACAGACTACAGGTACCTCGTAATTTAAATGGACAAGGAAGTAAACAATGGTAAAAGTAAAATAAAAACAAAACTTACTGAGCATCACAAAACCAATTACGGCCTTCATGATCGATTAGATTTACAAACAACAGAACTCAATTACTAGTAACTACACTTTTTGTTTACAATTTTTTCCGCGACTAAATGTTTGGTAAACAAGAGACGTGCGGCTTCGTCAACGGCCGGTGGCGGAATGAACCGCAGCATGCAAATAGTCCCTGCGTACGCGCATATTGTTTGTCCTATTACTATGATTCACTGCATCTATTAATTCATGCGATTATGGATATCATAGTGTGGATAGTTGATACTGGATCGCCTTGCAATATGATCTGAGAGTAATAAATAAAGATTTTTTTTATATCTACATGTTTACAATTCTATCGTAATTTATATTATAGCTTTTGTGATACATACTAAATTAATTATTATATTTTCGGCTTACACACGTAAATGTTTGACGAAGAACTCGACTAGTTTCAAGCCATGCTAGAGGACCGCAGCAGACTCGAGTGCCCAGTAGCAGCGCGACAGTCGCCCTGTGGCAGGTCGCGGAATGCTGCTCATGAATGTGAGCCTCTAGCATGGCTTAAAACTAGTCGAGTTCCTCGTGAAACAATTACGTGTGTAAGCTGAAAACATAGTAATTAATCTATCCTAATTGTTTGTTGAACATGGCTTTTAATTCGCACAGAAGACGCAGTTTCAGACAAGGAAGAAGGGGTCTAGAGGCTCTATCTAGTCGGATTATGCATCTTCTGACAGCTGTTATATTTTATGCATTGTCCGCAATATGCAACAGCACTATCCGTCAACAAGCCGTAGCAGTAAGCTCGTCGAGTACCGTCATTATAGACACAATTATAGAACAATAGGTTGCAGTCACCGGTGACCGCTTGGTGTTTGACAGTATAAATAGTAAGAAGCAACATAACATTTCAGTAGGAGAACTGGTATGAAGCGATATAAATCTAAGTATTACCTCTATTGTCGGTTATCTTTCGAAATGAATGTCAAATCCCTTAAAAGACTATAAAATCATACATACGGGTGTTTTCACTTTTTAACCTACCGCACTCAGTTTTTGTAACCTTGATTCAAAAGATATTATTTGTGTCAATAGCGTTATCGGAAAAAACCAATGCCACTATTGTTGTATAGTGTGACATAATGACATTCCGTCTATCGTGAAATGAGTAATGTAACGTTTTAAATGGTAATTCGTGTTGTAGATATTTTTTGGTATAGAGGTCGCTAGTGTAATAGGCTCAAATTAAAGGTTTTCTAAGGGATCCTAAGGTTGAGTTACGTTTCGAGAATTGCAATGTTATTTACGAGGAATCCTCCTTCCTGGAATCGATGGCGCAATTGGATTGTTTCATACAACTTTTTCAGCGTTTGTGATACCCTTAGGCCCTTAGGTTTTCCAAGTGTACCTTACGGCGGCAAGTAATTGGATAGATCGACTTTGTGTTATTTGGTTTACTGCCTATTATTTTTAGGTGCACTGCCAGTTTTTGATGATTACAAAAAGGTACGATTAGATATTCCTAATCCAAGGTATAGGGTCCAAAGTTTGAATGAGGGTGAATGAAAAAATTAGAGTTCTCGGTAGATCACGAGAGATAATTATATGCCTTGCCATCTCATGAAATGCAAAGCTTCTTATAAGTTTTTGTCTTCCAGATCTTATTAAATCTATAACAGTTATATGCTAGCGTAGACCTCGCAATATTGTGTAACACCAAGAATGTTAACTTGCGTGTTTTATGTTAATAAATACTCAATTTCAATTATTATTCAGTTTTATGACATAAAGGATCGCTCACGCATTACGAATTCTTAACGGTAGCTATTCAATTATTTTGTAGCATATCTTGACAGTTGATGTTTAATTTATAATACTTCATTTCTTTCTTTCTTTTTGTTGATTAGATTCAGTATGAATACCTGTAACTAATTTGCCAAAGCAGTTAACAAATGATACCCAAATATTTAATTAACTCGTCGAGTACCGGTTTTGTAGACACAATTATAGAACAATAGGTTGCGGTCACCGGTGACCGCTTGGTGTTTGACAGTTTAATCTACTCATTAAATACATTTTGAGCTTTGTCTGTTTCCAATTAATTCGGTTAGGATTTTGCTATTTTAAGTGGAGTTACTGTCATTTGCACTAACATATCTATTTTTTATAGCATAAGCCGGTAATCGAGCAGACGGATCACCTGATGGTAAGCAATCGGCTTCGCCCATGGACACCTGGAACACCAGAGGCGTTACAAGTACGTTACCGGCCTTTTGGGGATTAGGAGTTTGAGGATCCTTGGGGATTCAGGGATTGGGGAGATTGGGGAAGGGAAGGGTTATTGGGCCTCCGGTAACCTCACTCACACGACGAAACACAACGCAAGCGTCGTATTGCGACGTTGGATTTTTGTGAGGCCGTGGTATCACTTCGGTCGAGCCGGCCTACTCCTGCCGAAGCATGGATCTCCCACACTGAGATATAGAGATATCTTATAGAGATACCCTAGTTATAGAGATATCTTAGTTTATCAATGAAATTGACCTAATTATGGGCAGATAATGCCTTATTGTGTAGCCATGAAACCATCAATTAATCGTACGATGATCATACAAGTACCCACAATCACTGATATAATAATACCTATATTCTATCTGCCTATTGTGATAATACTGTTATCAACGTTCATATGTATTTCAATTTACCATACTTATATACTTATTGTGGCGTGTAATTATCTTACAATGTACAAGTATTATATGAATAATATCTATTACAGCTACACCTACTAACCCTTGTTGGTTAAAATGGTTAATCAAGTTCATTTTAATATGAACAGAGGTTCAAGTGCGTATTGTTTTGTTTTTTAACCTTCTATATTATATTGGCTTTTGATTTGTCTTCTATATTATAGTGATGCTTGACATTCCCTTTGGGAATAATAAACAGAACTAATAGCAAAGCCAAAGAGTAGCGTTGGACTATTGCCGTGCAGTATTTAATTAAATCTTATTAGAGCCAGCAAAGTACAGTCTATTTATAAATGCAACAACTAACAAGCCATCTGTATACGTAGGTACTATAGTAGCATCAAGGCTCTAAATAGACGAACCACATTTCAACTGCAATCCAACTGCAAATTACAGTTGACACGACTGCAATATAACAGCAATCGGACTGCTCGTTCGGTTTGCAAACGTTTGGTCATGATTGCAATCAGACTGCATGTTTGGTTTGTAGTTCAATTGCAGTCGTGTCATGACTGTATTCAAACAGTATCCTAACTGCGGATAGATTACAGTTGAAATGCGATCCATCTGTCTAGAGTCTAAAGGATATGATGGAGTAAAAATAAGACTACAATTTTTACTATATAAAGTGTATAATACTTACGTACTTTTGTAAATGGCTAATTAATTACGATGTTTTATATACAAGACACAATAATACCATTCCATTATGTAATTAGTAATTATAATTTACCTACTCGATAGAAATAATAATGCAGATTGTAATTTGTAATAAAAGTAGGTTTAATCTAAAAGGTTGTAGTCACAAATACAGCCTTTTCTGTCTTGTATTTCTTGTCATAAATGTTTATTTGTTGTATTTTATAGTTACAGTAATAAATAGTGTTATGTTCTTATTCACATGAGTACAAGGACTTCGTATTCTGCTGAGCTCCTTTCTTCGCCATCGAAGGGATAGTAGCATGTGCCGTGGCTTGGCTGGATCTAGGAAGAAAATAGACACTCATAAATGATCTATTACTCTAAAGTCAACCGAGGTTACCTAAATGTATATTATGTTCTCTTTTCGCCAACTATGTATGTTATATAAGACCCATGAATGCCACACGGCCCACAATACCAAACTTCAGCTTCTACTGAGAATTTCAAAATCCAAAAATACGAAACGCTGTGTATCAAAGTTGACATGGCCCGAGGCTAACAAGCAAAACCTTATTGTTTCACTCCTGTAGCGGTAGTTAAGCTGGGCTCATGCTCTAGAGTGGGGACTGCGAATAGACAAACGCATATGATTTCCATAATTAAGTCCTCCAAAGTGGAGCGGCGATATTATCTAGCAGATGGTAGCGGATACATTGTTGACCACGAAGAGAGGCCTGGACGGAAACGATCTGGTCATTCTGGGTTCCCTTACCTTGCCAGGCGTAGTGCATCCGTCGTGTGTGACTCTGCCGAAGTACAGCTTCTCGCCGTCAGCAGTGACTCCTGCGGCTACTGCGCCAGGGGGAACCTCACCACCAGTCGAGAACTGCCAGGAGAACATCGCGGGGACCAGCACCTAGAACCAGGGCAATTATGAGTTAGAACTATCATCATACATTTGTGCCATATTCGAGATAAGTAATTATCATATCATTACCTAATTAACCATTGAAGTTATTTTGTGTTCCACTAATTCAGTATTTTACCTCAAACTGGTCTTTGACGATTTCCTCGCCACCCCAGCAGACGTAGCAAGCGTTCTTGTTGGGGATGACCTTTGCGGGAAGGATGTCACCCTCATGTGGGGCTCTGCCGGCGTAGATCTCGTCACCATCCACATCAGTACCCACGCGCAGAGCGCCGGGCGGGATGGAGCGCTGGCTCAAGCATGCTGGGACCCAACGGTATGTACCTGAAGTGAACACAGGGAAAAAGTTAATTTATTTTTTCCCTCACCGATTTTAACGAACAGTTATGACTTTTATGGTAGACATAAATATTTTTTTATTTCAACAAAGACGAACACAAAAGAAATAAGTCGATAGACTAATAATTTAAAAAGTGATGATACAAAAAATAAAGACAAAGATAACAAATGAGAGTTAGTTTAAACCAAATAGGTACTCAATGGAAAATATTTCAAAGAAACACAAAGTCGAAGATGAAGTTCATGATTTTCCACATTAAAACAACACAGAAGCTACGGCCAAAACTCTATATGGATGAGGAATTGAAATTATTTGGAATAAAACTAACAAGCTGATTAGTACAGAGACATGGTGAGACGTAAGTCTGGATTGGACAGTATGGACAGTCACCATAAAGAGGATTGGCCTACACGTGGCGAACGATACAATCAAAAAATTACTCAGAGTTAACACCTTCAGTAAATGCCTATATCATGTTATGTATGAGAAAGTATTAGATTTATAAACTCGAGTCACATATATCGATACAGATGTAATAATATTTTATACTGTTCATTTGCACTAAGGCATTGCGATATTATTTTATCAACCGCTTTATCAGGAGGACAAATGTGCCCCGGATTAGATTAACGATTATTGATGCGATGCTGTTGTCTAAGAACTATGTGAGTTGATTAAAAATATCGTATTGATATGAATGATTTCTATGAAAAAATTGATTCAGGAATTAATCTTGTTAATTGTTAATTAATGTGAATGATAATGGTTCTAAGTATAAAGATTCCTAGTAATCTGAGAAGGTGCTATCTCTGGGAACCCAATCCAGACTTACTCCACGGCAACTCGACAGTTTCCCCGGGCAATTCCGGCTCTGCGTTATCGACCACAGTGACTTCGCCGCCATCAGGAGGGGGTGGTATTTCTCCTCCGGGGTAGGGATAGAAGTAGGCAGGGTGCATCGGGTAGAAGACTACTCCGGCTGCCCCGGGGGGGTACATATGTGGGGGGTGGCCGGGAGGGGGAGGGTAACCGTGTGGCGGTGGTGGTGGTGCACCCCAACCATAATAACGCCGATCTGCACAATGACGCTTTCATACATTTTACAGTAAATACACAGGTACAAGGATACTCTTCATATTGAAAATGCATTGACATTAAGGAAAAAATTTAAAGTTTATCTACTTATTTCTTCGATCAACAATAACAACTAGATAAAGGGTTACGTACAAAATCAAGCTCCAGTTCTGTCCGTGTGAATAATAATAGTAAAAAATAACAAACAGAGAAAAATGTTTTAAAGTAGTTTTAAGTTCAACCTAATAATAACCATGGCACCTAATAATAAAGTCATAAATCGTCAAAATATTATCTAATACTTACGACCATTCGTCATATAAGACAAGAAAAGTATTTTCTTACTCCTGTCATGTAGAAATTAAAAGACATAAGTTATACAATATCTAGTTTGAATTCAACGTTAAGGTTTAACAAATAAAGATAATTTTTCCATTATTGTCTTGCGATCTATATCGTTTTGTTTTGTTTCGTTTTGCTTCTTCAAATTTCGAATTTCGCTACAGGAGGTATGTATGGAGTCGCGTTGGACACTAAAATAATTTTATAATATGAAAATTAACATTTCGGGATCTTAGTATACATCACTAATTTTTATTAGCGGTACGTTTTTGTGTATGATATGTTTATTTACTTTATCGTTAAAAGTCTAAGTCTAAGTCAAAATTATTTATTTCAGTTATACCAGGAAGGCACTTTTGAACAACAACAATATAAATTTAAAAGTGAAGCTATTTGCTCATTCCAAGGTGTAGATTCCTATGGAGAAGAACGAGCAAGAAACGATACAATTTCTTATTTTTTCAATACAAATCGACTCCATGCATCCACTGTTCTGTTTATACAAATGTTGGCGAGACTTGGCCAAGGAATCGCCAACACACGCACAAACATTGGTGGCGTTGGTTTATAATTGATAACTTTGTCTAATTTGATATTATTTACTAGTTTAAAAGCTTAAAATATAACTTATACTTTATGTACTTATCAAAAGTAAGACACTCCGGCCGTTATACTGCTTTTTCGGTTGTTATTTTTGCAACTTGCAATTACTCGTGAGACGTGAGTACGTTGGCCGTGTTTGGAGCATACTAAACAAAATAAGAGCTCACTTCTCAAGTGAGCTCTTATTTGTCGAGACGATTTTCTTGCGCCGACCCGATATCTAGTTGTTATTGTTGATCGAAGACTTATTTAGTATTTTGTACATCACATATAATAGTAACGGACTAAATTATTATCAATAAATAATATTTTTTTATTCTATACGTGGCAGATAATTGGATATTATACTCGCGTGATTCATTGCAATTCTATGCCATTTTGATAAACATTAAACACACCGGTTGATAAACGGACAGATTAATTTTTAGTGCTATAAAAGTGTAATTTTCATGCACGAGCCAAACTATTGATAAAATACAATATGTACCTAAAACTAAGTTTGTTCTTTTGATTTCGTAATCGGTATTGATAACCTCTATAATATTTTCATTCTCTACAGCTGTACACACATGAATGTACTATGTATGTTTAGTACGTGACTACCTTCCCCCATATATCTAATTATTTTATTAATACACATAGTAATTCATTGTTTTATCAATGCTTGATACATATAAATTCAATAACTACTTATTTTCCAAATACTTGAATCACTTTATCAATTCAGGAAAATCGTTGCTACTATTATATTTTTCTGTTGAATCGTTGCTCAAATTGATATCGTCCACGGCTTAGTCATATTACCTATAATGTTCGTGTTTATTTTAAATTTTATTGTTTATCGATGAATAACACCTCGGTCTCTGATTAGATACAGGTGTTGTATAAGCGCTCGAAATATCCTGTACATTTGTATTTATCATTTCTAAAGTAATCATTAGGTTAATCATCTTATTTGGAATTTTATGTGTAATTTATCGAACGATAATGTTTTTTCCTGTTCACAAATTACTTATACAATTGCTAATTATAACATCTTTTGTGTTGATATCAAAGTTGATGCGTTTAAATAGTTTTTAGATGGAGATAAAATGAAGTGGGCCCATTATGGCACCTTGGGGCATCCCTAGTGACATTGAACAGTTTGGACTGTAATGTATCCTGTACGAATATAAGCTTTAAGAAAATTAGTATTGGACTTAACAGTAGGTAATAAAAACAGTTCATGCATTACACTATATATACGAGCACATAATTACACAGCTTATCGAGTTGATAATTAATTTAATATGAAAGCGAAATAAGTAATAAAATATCTTCTTCAATGGACATGTTAGTTTTACATGAAGTGTAGAAACTATTTTGTTAGTTTAGATTTCATCATGTTATTCGCAAAGTAAAACCGATATCAACTTACTTCGATTTTAAAGTAAGTAGGTGCCTATATCTTTTTACTATCATAAAAGGTGTGTTCAGCTAGATAGTAATCGTTAAGTATTATTATCAAGGAAATTCTGATTTAATAATTGAACTGAAGTAATACGCGTCTCCGTCTACATTAGTTTCTTTAGCTGCATTGTTTGAACTGAAAACAAATGTAGCTGCGCGTGAAACATTTACATGACAAAAGGACCAGCGCAAACCAAATAAAGAGTGTCTACAGTAAGAACCTTCTCTATAAAGTTGTGATTGTTTGGTGGAGATAAAGCATTTTCCAACAACATTACTCTATGTTCAGTTAAAATGCACTGGAAATTGTTTGAAAAATAATGCCATTTGTAGCGCCTGTCTTTTATCTCTGTCTGTCCAAATTAGAATGTTATCGAATTGTTACTAATTATACAAATTGCTTTATAACTGTATACGTGTTTACTTATAATTGGGTGCCTACAAAAAAAAACAACTTATATATCAATTAATTTCTCCATAATTAGTTCGCACCAAGTTAAAATAATTATGTTGCATGCTTAACGAAATTACAGACACTGACATCAATAATGCCTAGTATTAGTAAAAGCACCATAAAAATGTATATCACGCAAAATTGAGAAAAACGATCATCAAATATATATTCAGAGTACATTCTAGTAACTATTGTTATCACATATCTTATCACACTTTATCTTAAAAACTCACCTGCCATGTTGTCAGTGCTCTCGCTCGCAAGTGACTGCTTTACCGCTGCGACTTGCTGTTATTTTATTGTAAACAAATGTACGGTAATCTATAGATAACGAAGCATCGTTTGTGGTTTGATAATTATGTACTTCAGTTAATTAGGAGAAGCAAGTGTTATTGCACTTTTAAGTATTATTCAATGTTGCAACACTGAGTGTGTAGAAGTGTCTTACTCGGAAACGCGCAATATTTTTCTGCAATATTGCAAATATTCAATTTTTGCAATTAGTATTGATAGTTTATCGCCGCCATAAGTTCTAAACAAAATTATTCATTAAAACCTTAATAGATATCTATTTTGAGCTTATGGCGCCGACTTGTTCCCATCATCAGATCCTGACCGGGTGACAATAAAACCACCACTATTAAAAAAAAAAGAATTTCGAAAAACAGTCCACAAACGGTAGATTAATCGGTGAACATACATTTTCTTACAAACAATCATCCGAACATAGTACCTCCTCTTCATAATATGCTTCGTATAGAACCCATAGGCAAAATGTTTAGGTCCTTCATGACGCAGTTTCCTATTATATAGACCAAGTAAGTAATATTTCAAATAGTTCACTACACGTAGTAACTTTATTTAGGTGCGAAATGAGTAAACTGAACCTATGTATAAAAATGTGGGAACCGCTTTTGTAAAATGCCTAGGTAAGACATTAGAATGCCATGTGAAGGAATTGGGAGACAATGGGAGATGAAGCGCTTTGCTTCAAGCCTTCTTGTGCGAACTGCTTAGGAGTGCAAATCTTTGCAAGAGCCTGTGTTTCCTAAAGGATATATATCCTGGGTGTCTTTAAGGTTGTAACCCAGTAAATAGGTTGCTTATGGGTAGACGTGCTCCATCATAGGCCGCATCATCGTTTACCACCAGACGAGATAGTAACCAAAGGTCGACTCATATGTAGGATTCACCAGTAGCATGTCAATGCTACGACAACGACCCTCAGTTATGTAAATATGATCACGTGATAGGCTTTTTTTCATAAGAAAAAATGCTCCATGCTGCTTTCTCTTTTATAAAATCTATTATTAATGTTTTGTTTTTATTTTGACTGTATGGGGAGAAAATCATCGAATGACTGCTCCCACCTGGGTGTGGCGGGAGGGAGTGTCAGACTCTTACTGACTAAAAACCACCCCGTTCCTTCTCCTGCACGTCAAGCCGGAGCCCCGGTTACCCGTTAGGTTCTCCGCGACTCCATGTGATAGGCTGAATTAAGTGATTGGCTGGTGTGTGCACTACCGCTCTGTGTGCCGGTCGGTAATCGACTGACTAAGTATTTATCATCTACGTAATATGACAGATGTCACTAGAGGCGACAGTATTGTAGAATATACTAATACCTACCTACATACACTACAGCATACAAATACCTTTAATTACTTAGGTGATTAACATGATGCTATGCTTAGGTAGGCTATGTCTCATTTCACCATAAGTCGTCGGCTACTTATCAGGTGAGGTGTGACAGTGTGACACACATAGCGTCATCATTTGGTCGAGTAAAGGGTCTTATGATGACGAATCTATATCTATATATATAAAAATGAAACCCGTTTCCCGTTGTCACGCCATAACTTGAGAACGGCAAGACCGATTTGGCTGTTTTTTTTTGTTGTGTTTGTTGTTGTCAGGAGAAGGTTCTTATGATAGAAAATATCCTGAAAATCTTACGGGAACGGGAGAAAACGGGATTGCGCGTACGAAGTCGCTGGCAGAAGCTAGTATTAAATAAACATGCAATAAATCAGAAATAACTTTAATAAGCACAAGACTTTAACGCTTGCATCACAGTTTTAGATATAGCTTCAAATTCCTTTAGTGCATGCTCAGAACTGGATCGTTTAAACTCTTCCATTGACGCAAATGCCATCACAAGGTCTTTAAGAACACGATTGACTACTTCAACCATTATTTTATGATTGGGTCTTTCGGTAGACTCTGCGACGTATATTGCGGCCGACACCTATAAGTTGAAAATAAACTTTCGTATCACATACCACAACATCTCCTTTTATCCCCGAAGGGGTAGGCAGAGCATCCCGTTACCCTATGTCATAGGAGAGAGCCTATTACCCGGCAGTCGCTGACCCTTCCTTCTGACCACTTGGCCAACGAGGCAGAGGCCACAAACAAAACATTTCTAGCATTTTCCTATCTTATTACCTACCTTAGATTTCCAAGAGTCGAGTACTTCTGCCATTACAAAAGACTTGTCTTTCACTCCTATATTTTTCAAATTGTGACGTAACAATACTAGATGATGTCCCCGACAAACATCTGCAAGAAATTCGGCGTCATTAGATCGAAACGCATAATTATGTTTAATGCCTATTGTGTTTTTATCTTACCCTTAATACAATCCTTTTCGTCTTCTCCGTTGGGACAGTTGTCTTTTCCGTTACAAATTGCATCAACAGGTATAGTCATATTAGTAACATTACATGAGTATCGGGTTAGCAAAGGTTCGGCTAGACAAGCATGGATACAATTCTTGCTACACCTCCGCAGAGCACAGAGTCCATCTCTACAGTAACACCCTTCTGGTGATATTATTTTCTCGTTTCCAGTGTGAGATAATTTAAGAGCTTGTATCAATTTTTCGTTTATTGAGAGTAATGTAAGATAGTGCTCGTCCAGTTCGTCTAAGTTAGCTGTTTGCATAAAGTCATCGTAAATAGAGACCAACTGCAGAAAACATTCATCTCTTAGAGATTTTATAATGTGGCTGTCATAATTTGTTTTAACGGTCTGCTTTTGTAATTGCCGAACTAGACTATGCACTGCAAGCACCTTGTTGCGACTGCGTTGATACTCGTACGATTTAGACTTTTCTGTCAAAAGTTCCAACAACATATTGTATTTTTTTATAGCACCAAATTTGGAAGAAACTATATCTGAAACAATAATTAACGATTAAAAGATAAAGTACCACACCAGACAGGTCTCTAAACAGATTAATTTTAAATACAATGGTATTTGATTTCATATGATATAATGATAATGATTAAATAATTATCAATTGAAATCTTACCTGACGTGCATTGTGACTCATCGGTTTCATCGAAACAATCAAGTTTTCCATCACAAATGGTATCTAGCGAGACACTCGTAGCACTGTTCAAGGCTTGACAACCCCAATGGTTCAAACTGTATCTCTCCCAACATATGCGCTTGCATGTGGCCTCACATTGTGGGTTTTTACAATACTGTCCTTTACAGGAACATGATTTTGGTGACCAGCCGAGGTCCCGGGGTCTTTCCACTAGATCATCGAATTGATCATTAAATTTTCGAAAATCGTTGAAGTATTGATCTGGGTCTACCTTAGTGTGTGCACAGAGTGTACCATCTAGAGCGTATGACAACGTACTAAGAATCGTATTCACGTCGTTCACTCTCTTTAGTATATACATTTCATTTTCATTTGGTTTTTCTGTCGCACTCTCGGATGGCTTTGGATTGGCTGGAAATTTTCTTTCTATCATTGCCATTTCCGTTTTCAATAAATCTCGCAATATTTGATTGTGTGACGATAAAAGGTAACTATTTGCTGATGCAAAGCATTTTCGATTAATTGAGGCTTCTATATCTGTCATTACAGCAGCAGCTTTGCGAATCTTTTCCATTGCTAGAAAACAAGTAGGTATCAATTTGTTAATATATACTTACAGTTTCTAGCTAAATCATTTACGATACAAAAGTATTAACAGTCTCAAACAATAATAATGGTTACTTTATAAATGTAATATGACACATGAAAGATAGGTAATGTTGTCCCGTCGTGTGTCTAAACGTGGATCCACGCGAGACAATGTACTTTCTATTGTTTCTCATATCGGTGCATTCAAGCGGTTATAGATGATGTGATTTACAACATTTATAATTATCCAAAGGTAGGTCAATTACCGTAGTACCAATTACTACTAAAGATTTTTGGAAAACTGTCATTTTTAACAGGCAGTACTTTGTTTAGTAGTTGCACATGCGTTTGTGATAATGCAAATAATTAAATAATAATAAGATATATATTAAATTCAAGATGTCTAGACACAGTTACGCGTACGGCACAATTATCCTTCTATCCTATCCTACTTATAATATTATAAATGTGAAAGGTTGTGCCGATGTATGTGTGTTTGTTATTCAGTCACATCAAAACGACTGAAGCTCTGGAATAACACATGGACCACTTTATATCCTACGGGATCGCTGGCGAAACTGTTTGCAGAAGCTAGTACGTAACAATTATTTACGTAGTTGTCACCTTTGGCCGTGCAGTTTTTTTCGTCACTTTTGTCCAAACAGTCAACAACGCCGTTGCAGAGATATGCAATGGGTATGCTTTTTTGGTCATCACAAGAATATTTGTTAAAAGACTGAATACTTAGACAAGTATCCTCTATAATATCATTACAGCGTGGGTCTATGGAAGTATCATTTAACGAATGAGATATTAACTTTTTATATTTGTTAATTTCTTCTATATTCGATTCAACATCATTTACCGGGTCTTCTTTTTTTGTTTCACCCTTTTGGTTCTCCGTAGTCGGTTCGTTTAAATCCTTTATCGACTTAATAACCATACGTCTTCCGTCTATTTCTTCTCCAAGCAGTTTTTGAATGGATAGTTCGACACCCCTTGCTATAAGATTACTATATGTCTTGAGTTCGTCATGTTTGTTGTGAATCATGATGTGTTTTTGCTTAGCGGAATCCATTATTCTTTTCTTAATTTTTTCCAATACCTGTTTCTTACCCTCAGGTGTTTTAGCATCTCTCAGATAGCCCTTCGCAAGAAACTCAATTTTACTTGCTATTTCTTTTATGACTTCTTTTTTTCCTTCGTTGTCTATTCCAATTCGTAATGTTGGCACTTGTTCTTTGGTTCGTACTTGAACACTTTTTCTTATAATATCAGAAGCTGTCTTTTTATCGTTGTTGTTTTTGTTAAATGTCTTCCTTCTAAACTCTTCCATAATGTATTTAATATATTTTTCTGCATCAGGTCCCATTGATATAGCAGATTTCTTCAATTTATTTTCAATTTTGTTTAAAATTACTTCCTTTTTCTCATTAGGAGCTTTAGATAAAGCGTTTATTGTTAAGTTAGATACTTTTTTCATAATTTCTTGGATAATCATTGCTTTAATTGTTTTATTACTAGACCTTGTATCAGCTGAAAGGAAACATTCAAATATTTTCATTACTCATTAGAAAAAACATATTATAATATTTTGTTTTCTATTGAAAGTTTACCTATCTGTATAACTTAATAACAGGATTAATTTTTTTTTCAAATTAAAAATATTTTATATAAGTACTTAACAAACTTACCATGATTGCAACATACACATGTTAATACAAACACTGTAACAAAACAAAATCTCATGAAGTTTACTCCTTTGCACAATAGCATTCTAATTTTCCTGCCAATATCTCCGTAGAACTATTCACATACCACTAAAATAGTCGTTAAACAACATGTAAGTAATTATTATAAATTGATGAGATATGAAAATAATTACAATTTCATTAGGCAATTTTGATAAAGATAATTACAATAGAAAATGCATTATATATTTAGTATTATTGTATATGTTCAACTATGTAATAAACAGATCGTAAATACCGTAAATATCCATTCATTTACCATGACCAGTTTTTACTTTAATTGATTTTGGTAAATTTATACCTACCTAGTTGTTTTATTCGTATCATCATTTATTAATGCAGTACCTATGTTTTATGAAATATTTGATTACAATATCAATTATTCAATTGATTACTGTACATACAAATATTTTTGAAAATTAGTTCCATTTCAAAGTGTTATTCTCTTCGGTTAAACATATTTAGAAAATGTTTTATTTAACACAATATAATTCTACTTTTAGTCGAAATTAATAAAGAATTTAAATTAAATAAATATATACAACTTAAAATATAAATAAGTATGAACTAAAATATTTAACATATTTTAGTAAGTGTAAAAAAGTAACAAAACGCAATAATAACTGTCAAAGTCTCACTGTCAAATTACTGAAATTGTCAAACCACAATATAACCTCAACTGTATCATTTTATTCTATGGCATAAAATAGTAAATATTATTTTCCTAACTGTATAGAAGCAAGAAATCATTCAATTATGAATATTCCTATTATAAAACTTCTCCAGGTGAAATTGATTCTTTGTTTTATTATACACATAAAACATTTCAATTTGGTTACCTAATTTTTAATGTTGGTTTTATGTTTATTCTTTTTATAGTCAGGTTTTGGTACCAGCAGTGTGATATCGCAATGTTCACCAATACTAGCATCTCAACTGCACACGTCTGCTCCGCTATGCCGAGTGGTATCAGGCAAATACAGGATCACGAAGAAACGAGACAGGCCCCTAACATATGAAATGGCAAATCCTCCACATTACATTGCTCACCGAAAATCATGGAACTCTTGGAATACTTGTAAGTATCTAATAAAAATATTATTGTATAGTGGCTTGGCTGTGTAAGTCAAGCTTTTTATAAGACCTTTATTACTTAAATTAACTGAGATCTGTATCCTTTTAGCCAATTTAAAGGATGGCCTAAGAAGGTCTGAGACAGCAGTTGAAGATGAATTCATTAGAAGATTCATGACTGGTACATGGCATGGCCTTGTTTGCAGTGAGGTAAGCATAATGTCATCTTGTTACTGGTATTTATTATTTTTTACCAAACATGCAGAAACTTCGTTAGTTCATAAATTTCTAAAATGATTTTTGGTACATTTGAATGCTCTTCTATTTCTCTTATCAATGGAAATTATAAATTGATAACATGAGCTACAGGTTTTTCAGTATTGAAACCACCATGACACTGGTGTCATGGTGGTTTCAATACCTGTGGCCTGGGCCACAGTTAAAATTATTGAAATTAATTTTGGAACACTTAATTGCAGGTTATAATCAAACGGCAATTCAACCACATACGAGTAGCTGCTATCATCAGGCGAGCTGTGTCACCCACTAAAATGTATTTTCTACTTGGCTACACTGAAGAATTACTCTCAAACTGGCTACAGTGCCCAGTCACCCTTGAATTACAGACAGTTGATAGCTTCAAAGATGTTGTGTTCAAATATATTTAATGTTACCATTTTATTTGTAGTGTAGTCATTAGTATTAATAAAGTGTATATGAAAATATTGAGGTATGTTTATTTTATCCAGCAACAACTACATTTTTATAAAGCAGTATTGACTGTTTTTCTATTATTTGTTTAAAAATATAGCAATACAAAACAGGTTAATAAACTTAAAACAGTATATTTCCCAATATTAGCTTTGAGCTTATAAATAAAGGGTTTTGAAAATATTAAATTATATTATTAAAGGGGAAAAATAAAAGTCGAGTAGTAAAATTCATCTTATAATTTTTGATTCCTTCAAATATACATAATGTATCAACAAACAGAACAGCGAGACGCGGGCCGCGCGGCGCCGCACACCGCTCCAACACAACCGAGCCGCGACCGAACTTCTGCACATACGCTTGTACTTTATAGATCTTTATACACATTGTAGCGAAACAAACACCGGTTGTTCCTGTGCCTGCGGGTATCATAATTGTACGGTATTCAAATAAAATGTTGCGGTCTCACCATTTGCTTCAAATTGTCCACAAAGCCAAGCGGTGTCCGTTTCTAAATCTGAGAGTACATGTAACATTCCCTTTTCAAATGACAATTCCCCTAAATTTCTCATAAATGCCTATGGTGTCTCTCTCAGGTAAATTTGTATTGTCTATCACAGTGTCGTAAAGCATTTGTCCTTACATACTAGTGAGTTAAACATTGCGATCTTATCATTAAATCACCATAAAACACATTTTGTAAACTCGTTAAGGTGCTTCAGAAAATATTTTTAATTATCATGATATCCATTTTAAAGTCTCAAACAGTCTTTCATATTGAGCTAATTCGGTGCCTGTGGAATGTCTGTCGTTCCTAGAAGAAGGCTATGTGTTCCGTAGTTGTGTCTGTCGGGCTCAGTGTGCGCAGAAGTCCAACCGGCTGACAATATGCGACGGCTCGCTCGTTGTTTAGCATTAATTGTTATCGAAATTACATATTTACAAATTAAATATACACACAACATGAAGGCTTCTGTGGTTCATTCGAATAACTATCCAAAACTTAGAAGCATCGTTGAAGCCTCCCGTTGGATAAACTAACAGGAGAATACAACACACAGTTATGAATATTTACATTAAACAGAAATGAAGATATGATACAAATATTATGTACAAATAAAATTATTCCAAAAGGAATTATCAATAGCACAATATTGAAATATGTATTAAAAAGACGATTCAATAATAATAATTATGGAGAGGTTTCAACGACACGAACAGAAAGTGCTTTTCACAATTTTGGATGGCATCAGTTTATGTAAATCAATTAATATAATTACAGTGGAATATAACAAATGTAATGTGCGATCAAAATTCCTATTTCAACGCTACACACTGCTACAACTATTAAGTAAAAATGTCCATCAAAATTCTATTAAAAATAAAGAGATCATATATGTTCTACAAATAAGATAAACTTGTTGCAATAAAGCTCTAGATTATTCATAAGCGATACTTACGCACCGTGGTTGTGTTCTGTTGGTTTCTTTCAATACTGTATAGTGAACTATGGTGTAACAGACTACGACTCGCTTACAATACGGTGTACGCCTGCATCACATATTGCTAAACATCACATTACTAACATGCAGGAATATGTGTTGCAGGACATGGCAGTAACTAGACACTATTATAAAATTACGATGGCAAACAAAGATTGCGTATATTATTACCGAACGCGTAAGTATAACTCAGAATACAGAATCATGTAAAGCCAAATCTTAGTAGATAATTGTTGCCCTATTGTATTGCTATTGTTCCGAGGTGGACTGTAGTCCTAGTTATTATGCTTCATAAGATATCGTATCGTATAATTAGGTACTGACAACACGGTAAATGCAAAAATACTCACTACTATTTTAAAAATCTATATGTGGATATTTTTAATAAAGTGAATTAATATTGGATCATTTCGAATACTCATGTCAACTTAAATTTAACAATTGAAAATTTCGTGTGCTATGAAGGCAAATTGGATATTGTACGCTGGAACCGCTCCGTCGCCATGTGGGTGGATAGAATGTATGGTCGCTGTCGCCGCGGACTTTGTGCTCCACGGCGGAGCAGGCCCAGCGTGGGACGTCACAACAGTCTTAAAAACCTACATTAATTTACACGAGTACTAGAACAAGATCATCATGATATGATTTTAAATCTACTGTACTTAGAAAAATTATACAGCGTCAGTAGTAAAATTTGATTCGTATAAAACTTCATTTTAACTCCATTTATCCTAAAAGTAATAATTCAATATACCCTTTTTATGATTTGGCTTAATTTTTCTTCACAATACATCAGATAGATTACAAGAGAGACGTATCCCTATCACAATCACATTAGTAACATTAAAAATTAAATACAACAGCACCTGTCGTTTGATATACATAATAATATACATAATAATATAATAATATACTGAATAAAAATATTCAAAATTAATTATTCGATATAAATAATTCCGATGGAGATGACAAAATAAGCGTAGATACAACTATGCAGTGGTCCAAATAGTTTTTGTTTATAATAATATAGGTGATTAAATTTTTGCTTTGTAAATATCACTACTTATTCCGAAGAAACAACTAACGCTTCACAACGAGAACATTGCGCAAGAGATCGATCGATCGTACACGGCTGGCTACAACGACGCGGTTTTGAACGTCTTCAGAGAATTCAAAATCGTTCGCTCTGCAGCGAGTCGGATGCGATGCGTCAACCTGCGCCCGACGAGTGACTCACTCACGCCGCCGCCGACCGAGGCGCCACACTCGCGACGCCATAACCACGCCTACTACTATCGACACTCACACAAACATTTGTACTACTCCAGTATGCTATACCCGCTATTACTAAACTGGAGCGGTTCGCCGTCGGACGCCTCCGGAACATCAATTAAAAAACTTACTAAAACTAAAAATAAAATGCATCTAACATCGTTTCGCAATTTTTGATCGGACCTCTCGTGAGACGACGCGAATACTGAACAAGTTACAAAACCAAATGAAACACCTTAACAACTAACGATAACTATTTTGTGAATAGAAACAATGATACGTAAATTCAAATGAGGGAGGGTCTCGATCGTCACATAACAAAATTATAACCTACTTACAGCTAGGGAGGGGGGCGTCCGGTGGCGACTCACCGCCGAAGGAGACTGTTCATATAAAACTCAAGACTTACACTAAGCTACACAACTCTCCACTTACATACGCAGACAGACGTCTAAAAACTCACGAAGGGGAACGGGAGATAGAGGGAGGGTATAATGTCTCGCTGAGTAGTTTGTTGGTACACTCGATGTCACAATTAACCTAACTCCGGCCAAGCGGCCGCCGCTCTACTTTGTTCAGCGCCACACCGACTACCGACAATCCGACCGAACGTCATCGAGTCTACAATACCGACGGAAATCCTAACACTACACGAAATATTACATTTACCGATCAGTGAGACAGTCTTCGCGACCAAGAAGTTCACGTAACACTGGACAATAACCAAACGGCGAAGAAAAGGACAAATAATATCCCGCGAAGCTAGAGCACTACGCTTCAACCGGGGAAGACAGGGACTAACACAATCCTAGCCAACGACACGGATGCAAGTGATGTTGTGGAGACAGCACCTCACTACGAAAGGCACTCACTCGTCAATACAGACTCTACTATGTCTTTATATACTCATTGCTAGTTGCTACGACTCTATATATTTATCTATTGCTTTGATTGCTTCAGGTTACATATTAACTTCTAGCAGGACTGCATTAGGCACGCAACGACCTATTCAAATAAAATAGAATGAACGCAAACATCACAATGTGTACACTGTCCCGCAGCCGTTGCACGGAACTGGAACTAGTTGTCACAAGTTCACAACACACGACGTTCGTGTCAGATAATATTTTGAAACAATACTATATCACTTCACATTATCACTTAGATATTTAAAATTTATTGCACACACGTGATGTCACTTTGTAGGCAGTGTTAGATTTAACAATGGTCTCTATATAAAACTTTATAATAGTTAATTAAGTATCAAAAATAATTCAAATATTCTATTACATTATTAAAGATTTATGATAGCTATCTTACAACCCGGCCCTGAAAGTACCAACTATTCGCACTATGTCTAGTAGTCTAGTATAACAAGTTCGTAAGTACGAGTACGCCCGCACGGCCGGCGGTGACGTCAGCGCGGCGTGCGCGGGCGATGACGTCACCGCGGGCCGAGCCCGAACACTAGTCTCACTGATCCACGCGCGCCAGTCGCCAGCGAGCAGGCGCGGGGACTGAACGTATGCCCTCGCGCCTCCATCGCTTCACAAACACGAACATTGTAATCCCAAAAATATTATCTAAATAATATACAGTGGAGGAATTTATTTCACTAATTGATAAATGGACGTTTGAATCTCACACATGAGGACATTGATGTTACAAATTATATTCATTATGTAATCGACTGCATCGTCAGTATCGCGCTCTAACTGAAAAGTAAAACACCAGATCGACGCCAGGTAATTAAGAAGTACTAAATGAGACACGAACGTGGCGCTCTGGTCATTTTATTTTCCCCGCGGACATGACTACGTTGCTATTTAATATTCCTCAACTGTATAATATAATACATCGAAAAACTAAGCGTAAAATTGCTGTCGTAATCGACTGAAAAAATATGTATCTTTACGATTCTTCCATACAATTTTATTGACACAATAAGCGTAGGTCATATTTTAGTTCATTCATATTTTATTGAATCAATATTTAAAATTACAACTACATAATTTTAGTCAGATTCGTCATAAACAATTGCACTGTCATTCGCCACGCACAACTAACAATTTCCCATAATGTAAAGGCGTTCTAACTAATGTAATACTAACAAATCTAAGGTCCGTTATCTGTTCACTGAAACGTAAAGAATTGAACTAGTTGTAGCAACAACGCCGGCGACGTACTGACGCCCGCCGGGCACCGCTTCACTTTGTACTCTCCGAGGTACTCCCTACGTTGGCAGTGCTTGTATTGCCTGATTGGAACTATATAAAAATATATCCAGCTCACCTCTTCACAGCACGAACTTCAGCGGTATCAGATAAAAGGATTCCTTTATAATATATTTCTCTAAAATATTTCGTTCATTTAACTATTATAGTAAAATCTAATTTGCTTTAACTAACAACTCACAGGCTAAACAGGATCATGTTAACTTCTAAACTTTATTGAGCAAAACAAAATTTCGAGACAGTAATTACTAGAGCTCTACTTGAGTAGTAATGTCCAGTGAAAAGAGAACGACGTCCGGTATCATGTGTAACGGTATACAAAATACATTTGTAACTATCAACTAAACTAACGTCCAGGTCGGAGGCGCGTCCAAACCATGCGATAACAAAAACAACGCAGAGTATACTATGAGATGATTTAAGTAAGTACTTAAGACTAAGTTATTTGTACATAAACGATTCATAAGCTAGTTACTGATATTTGTAAAGTATATTTTAGAGTGAACTTTGATAATAGTGGTTATAGTTTTGAAATATTCGACCTCCTATATATTTTTCAACAACGAATCAATATTTAATTTGACTTTAATCAGCATAGCTAACAAGTTGCATTAATGTGAGCATTGCCTAGATCTTGGAGAGCGTATCCAAAGCTGTGCAAGAAACATTTGTTCAGAAAATGTGAGGAAGATAGAAAGTACAACAGACAGAGAGGCGACACGTAGCGCTGTAACGTCACGTACGATCTAGGCAAGCTCTTGGTCAGTTTATTTAAAAATAGATAATAGACATAGGGCGAGTTGGGAAAAGTAGAAGTTTTATAATCTCTTATGAAAGTAGTCAATGAGGGTAAATATAGAATTCGTAATTTGCGTCTACTTCTTCCAATCGCACGAACAAGTCGGTGTGAGAGAGTTACAAGTTTAGTATAATGGAAGCATAACGTAGAGGGGTGACAGTCCCGGCGGGCGGGCGGGGCGGGGCGGTGGCGCGGCGTGGGCCGCTAGAGCGCGCTGTGGCGCTTGTGTCTGCGCGCGCGCGGGGACGCGTGCTACCTGCGCCCGATCAGGCCGTTGGAGTTGGCGCCCGCCGTCGGACACATCTCCAGCTCCACCAGCAACGGGAAGTGGTCTGCGACATTCACAACACGCATTGTATTTACACGAACATACTTCCATTAAGGTTTAGACTGCACTATGACTTATATCATAGCCCGAACTGGGCAATAAAACCGCTAGAACGTGTGACCTTTATTTCTATAGGACACACTTTCTTATTGTTAAAAATGGTCTCAGTTGCGGATACTGCTATTCTATGCCTGAAAGATACAATTAATAATGAAAGATTCTCACCTGAAGGTATGTGAGGATGCGGACACCCGACTACCTTGTGCTCCCGGAACCAATCCTGCGACAACGGTCCCAGGAGACCAAGCGGTGTCATTGATTGCTTGCTATAGAATATGTAGTCAATTATACCCTTGAAGTCAAACCTGAAAACAAGAAAGTAACATTCATAAACAATTTGATAGCGTTAAAAGCCATGCCATATGATGGCGGCAAAGTAGAATAGACTTTATGGCAAGTCCCTCTTTTATAGAGAAAATCTAATAGTGGTTACAGAATGTTGATGATGACGATAAAACGAACAACATATCAGGTAAACTAATCAAACACTTGAATCTGACACCGCAAATTCAGAATGTTAAATCTTGAAATTGAAGAAGGTAATGCAATACTATTCGCTGCTAATCTTACAGACTCGTATTGCGACACTGGTTTTAGTAACGGTGACTAATTTATTAAGAAAAAATTAAAGTGAATAAAACAAGTTTGATGAAATACCCAGTTATGTATTTCTATTGTCGTTATTGATTCAAAATGAATATATATGAGGATTGGCAAGTTGGGGAAAGAGGATTCGTGCCTCCGGTAACCGGTATGGGGTACTAGCTTCGGCCAGCGGTTTCGCCCCCGTTCTGATATAAACAGTACCCTATGATTCTAGACCATAATCCATCCCTGTTCCAAATTTCATCAAGCCTTCAGTAATTTTTAACATACAAACTTTAGCGTTTATGATATTAGTCAGATGATGGCAAACGTGTAGACAAGTGATCTGATAATAAGAGCTGATAATATTTTTTTTTAAGGGGGAAAGTCATCGAATGACTGGGTCTGGGACTGGGTGAGGCGGGAGGGAGTGTCAGACTGACTAAAAAGCACCCGTTCCTTCTCCTGCACTTCGAACCGGAGCCCCGGTAACCCGTTAGGGTCTCCGCGAAATACTTACATCACTAAGAGTTACAAATGCGTTGTCAGCCCTCTCGAGATTTGAGGGTTCGACATGGGGGAGGAGGATTAGACTGTTCGTTTATAGTTTTTTACACATTGTAAGAAATTATATAACTATTAAATGAATAATACTCACGTATAGTTAGTATAGGGCATGATGTCTTCGCTATACGCGGACGCGAGTTTGAAGTTGTGCGTGAACTCGTGTTCCGAGCCGGGCATGCGACGCAGTGAGCCGGCGTAACCCAGCTCTTTGAAGTCACGATGCTCGGATGATACACGACCTGATGATAGGAACTCTACCACACCTGGAATATAAGAATATTTTGGTTAATAACTATATGATAATGATGGTAATAATGTTACATATTTTACAAAATAAAGAAAAGCAAGATCAGATGGGGTTGCAGTTGTTTAAAGATGGACTATACATACATACGCATTGTATCAAAAAATATATTGTAAACTAAATCTCAAAATGGAAACATTTTTACGTAACCTTTATCCGTTCTTGACCTACAAAACAATAATAAAATTCCTCTCCTAAAAGATCTGGGTCCAAAAAGGCAATATAGAAAATGAAGCAATTGATTGATTTCGAGATAAATCACATAAACCGGGCCATATATTATGTCCTAGCAACAAACGTAGGCTTAGCAAATGTCGTAAAGTCCATATCGAAGCTATCATTGTTTCGGGTACACTCGTAAATGACAAAGAGTCAAATAAAGTGTCTAACTTAGTGGCGTTCTGTGACAAAACAGATCGATAAATCTGTCTACTTACTTAGTTGTGCTTTGTAAGCTTGGATCTTTGGACTTAGTATTCAGATATGTTTTATTGCGATGAGAAAGTCATTAATCGTGTGTCAACTAACTTGCTACTTAATAGACATTATTTATTTAGCTACACAACTTATTTTCACTACAAATGTAGCTTTTATTACATTGCACAATAACCAATATTTTCTATAAAAAGCACCCCATATTACAATATATTTTTACTTTTTTTTTAAATGTTGCCCCACATTAGGATTTTCTCCTGTGTCTTAGGTGCATTTACAAACATACAAGTTCACATACACAATGACACTCAGACCCGAAACAACAATTTGTGGATCACACAAAGTGTTGTTCCGTACGGGAATCGAACCCGCGACCCGTTGCACGACAGCCAACCGTGCAGTCTTACTTTTAGAATACTTTCTTTTAGTAAATTTTGCTCCTTTGGACTAAATGGTGGACCTAGTGGTTAGCTTTTATTATATAGAAATTCTTGCAGCTCCAATATACTTGGTAACATAGTTTCACTTACCACTGTCTGGCAGCGAATTGAAGTCGCCACACAGCAGTAGCTGCACGTTGTCTCTCTGGCCTGCCAGACGCAATGACCGCGCCGACTCGTCGAGTATCGTCCGCAGTTCGTTGCTCAACATCATCGTTTGAATTAACTTCACGTCGCAAAACTCCGGGTCCCAGTGTATATGCGCGGTGCACACTAGGATCGGTTGACCGAGCATTGAAGAATCTGTTGGTAATCCTGTAATTGGGAAAAAGAGACATGGTTAAAATGAAGAAGAACAAGTATAAAAAAATCTTTCCTTCTTTTGTGACCGTTTGACCAACCAATTTGTTGCTCTGTAATCAGAATTTATTTCTGGCTGACACATATTTTCACACATTTCGTATGATGGATATAATTCTTTTATAAACTACGTTTAAAAAAAAACAGACTTCAATTCCCTCTATTCTTTTAATCAATCGGTTAATTGATAAACTAAAACCATCTCTTAAGTGCGACAAACACTTTTCTGAAAACCGTTACAAAACCGGTTCAGCCAATCGCAAAAAAATCGCGCACAAACATACATACACACATACAGATCAAACTGAGAACCACCTTTAATTGATGTCGGTTGAAAGATACGTCAAACTATCTATCAGTTAAGGGCAACAGAAACTTAACCAGATTCTAAAGTAGTCAGTGTAAACAGGCTAAAAAGAAAAAATAAGCCTGCATACCATAACACTAACGTTTGAAATTATGCTAATGACTGGTAATGAGTCATCAAATTCCACACACAATTTTAATTACACTCGAGTTCAACACAAGTACAATGTAATCCTCAGAAGAGTAACATGGTAAGCGAATGCCTAGTTAAATATTCCTAGTAATTCTCATACACGTGTTCACTATCACATAACTCTGCAAGCATCTCGTAACATGTAAATGATTACATAATTCGCGAGATTATTCTCTGAGATAATTTAATTAAATGTAATTAAGAACTGAGAGATCTGCCGTAGAGTTAAATTTAAAAGGACGGTAGCCTCATAACATTTTTTATTCAAACTTACTTATAGCTGGTTAAGTCTCATATTTTACGAGTAAAAGTGCTTAGTGTTATCATAAAAAGGCTAAGAATGTTATTATTGCTGAGAGCTTTTTGGTCGGTAAGTTATCTAGAGCCTAGTAAAAGCAGGACATGGGTACATTTCGTTCCTGTCTGCTGTTATGAAGTGATTATCAAGAAACGTCAACGCTTGCTTGATAATTATAATCGAGCACTTAGAATGCACTTTACTTAATAGCGAATATCTTAGTTTCAGGTTTAAATGGGAGTAAAAGTAAATGTTTATGTCTAATGGGGTCACGTGGATAACTATGATATAGTTCGTATAATCTGGTAAGATTTATTTTAAATTAAGCAACCACTTGCCAACTCCAATTGAGCAAGCGTGGTGATTAACGCGTCAGAAGAGGCCTTTGCTGAGCCGTGGCCTCTTACTTATAGGCTGTCGGTGATATGTTGTTATTGAAACAAGCACTTCCTACTGAAGTGCTTGTTTATTTAATATCTGATGGTGTTTAATGTTTATATCAACATTTTAATACAAAGAGTGCAACAACAACGTAGTCTTATTTTCTTAACACTATTGCGCATAAAGCTTGCTCGCGTTTATAGTTTATCGTGTTAATGTTAGCCGACATTATACATAGTGCACTTTTAATGTTACCTATGTGGGTTAGGTTTTGTTTAAAAATGTATTTAGATAAGTATATTATATTAAAGCAGACTTAAAAACATTTAACAAGACAAAATGCTACATAAACGTTTGCAAATCCAAAGTAAATAATGCTTTTCCGATTGATTTCCGATGGAAATATCTTTAAGACCAACATTATTATGAGTTGTTACTTTGTTTCCATCGAGCGCTGCATGTACGTGTTCCGCGTATAGAGAAAGTACTAAGAAATCGATTGCAGTTTTTAGGTTAATAGACAACCGATAATTACGAGACAGAATGACAGAAAAAACCGTCACGCTTTTTATCATATTCTTTTAGAAATTCGCGCCGGTCGGTGCTTCTACAAATATTTTTTGTTAAAACTAAATTAAGCTGTAAAATTTTATTTTTTGTTATTACGATCTGAATTCTATGCATAGTTTTTGGGCCAAAACACGAGCGACGACGGAGGTCGGACGGAAACGGAAGTAAATAATGCGATGACGTTGAAATTTCGCTTGTTACTTAAGTTTTTTGTTGGTTCGCTTCTGACGGAGGGCAGTGCCGCAGTGGCGTTATATATTTATGAGGATGAGTGGCGAAAGAGCCCTCATAAATTCATATTTAAATTACAACGTTTGCGTCAGTGGCTCAATTAAGGGCTAAGAGCGTAAGCGGCCGCTCATACTTTATTTAATGTTAAGAATTGCGGTAGAGCTGGATGTTTTATCCTTTGAAACTTTAATGGGAGAGATTTACTAGTTTAACGAAACGTTATTTTGTAATTTGCGTTGAATTTATTTGCGTTACTGCTTAATTTTTTAAAGCTGGTCACAAAATGTACTTATTTTTTAATTAGCTCATTTGACGACTTAGTTTTAAAAAGAAATACTTATAGTAACCTTCTCAAACTATAATTTTATAAAAAAATTGCCAAAAACAAGGCGAAACATTTGATCGCTCGCCCGAGGGCCACACGCAACCGAGTGCATGCTACAATTATGTACTCACCATTTTCCCATGCTGCCTCTTTCGTTTTAATAAGTGCTGCCAACCCTATATTGTCCTTCGGCATGACACGGTTTAACATATTATCTGATCCCTCACTGTTAGCCATTGCCAGTTGGTTGAACTCTATAAGGTGCTCCTTTACTAAAGCGAACCTGCAATACAAAGTTGATCATAAACATCTGTACAAAACAAATAAAATTTGATTAATACATTTTATAAACGGCGCGACGGAATGAAGTCATAAGCTTTTGATGTTTTTTCTTGGGCTGTAAAGAGTGTATTGACTTATAATCTATGCGTATGGTGAGCGGTTGGTGGTGGGCGTATAAACAACGTCGCTCTCGTGAAGATAAATCCTAGACTTTATTATATTGTTAAAGATAATGTAGCTATCAATGTAACTGTAAACTATGTTATGAAAATACAAATGTCATGCTCACTGAACATTTAACATGTAATAAATCTCTTTCAGTTTAATGTAAAAAAATCTTATCGTAAATTCTTAGTCAATTGAAAGATTCAAGTTGTACATACTTTGCAGATCTGAAGAAAATAGCGCACCCGTCGACATACTTTCTTTCTGATTCGCCCATGGTCTTGGCGCGGGACTTGGGCGAGAATATACCATCGTAGCCGTCCTGCTTCAGCTCGGGCAGAAAGAAGTTGTAGAATTGGTCTGTTTCCACTTCCTACATAAAAAAAAAATAGTATAAATAGGTAATTACTTCAAGGCAAGAAGAAGAACTCTAATAGCTTCAGGGTTCATATTCTTCATACTTTTAAATATTTTCATGTATACTAACCTGTAAGCTGATGATGTCGGCCGAATAATGTCTAATCTCGTCAAGGATGCCCTTCTTCCTGTAGTCCCATTCGAGCGCCCAGCTGGGGCAGTAGCCGTACATTTGTCGCGTCGCGTACTTGTCACATAGCACGTTGTAACACATCACTGTGAATATACCTGCAAACGAAACAAAGATCACGTTAATTTTCTTTCATTGAAAGAGATACGAAGAAAGAAAAACATTTATTCAGCTCCAGGCATTGCTCCCTTAGTCCTTACTCCAGTCCTAATTTCGTATCGAAGGCTTATTAATGAGTTTCAGATGTCATGTTCAGTTCTACATTACCACTCTATAAATACGGGACGTGAAGACGCTTCTGAATAAGTTGTAATTCTTTCAACGTCGGTGTCACCGCGTCGTTTATCTCACGACACCATGTTAGGTGAGCATCACCAGCCAATTAGCTAGCTCCGACATTTTGTTACCAGTGTCCGCACAACTCGCGTGACAGATAAAAAATGTTCCAATTAAAATGAGAATCTTATTACGCTCTACATGCAGCAGGCACGCGACACAATGGCTTTGCTTTTTCTAATCATATCTCACATGCGGCCGCCGCGGCCAATGCTCCGACCACACTCGGTTTAGCTTGTTGTTTTAGGTCACAGATTGAAAATAGAAGTTTCCGATTTATGAACGATTACGAAGATAGATTTAATGACACAACGAATGAAACGTAGATTTATCATACATATTAAATGAAGCGCCTATTTCTGCACAATGGCGACATCTATAATAGCAAACGGAAACGTTCTCGTTCAGCCTAGCTGAACTAAGGAAATTGGGCATCATAAGAGTTCTGCGAACAGCGACGGATTCATTTTAACGTATCCACTTATTACGTAAACTAAGGTGGCACGACTGTGCTCTCTCACGCTCCACACCATTATCTCAGATTTATGCGGACGCGGTGCGCTCGCACCCGTCTCATTACGCGAATCAAAAGGCGCGCGCTGCGCAGGACGATGAGGGCCGCTCGTCTAAATGTCAACTTCGTGGAAGACCTTGGCGATGCAATTATCTAGATTTAATCGAGCCGGTCTCAGTCAATCAGCAGACAAAGAACCGGGAGTGTAGCTTGTAAGACAAAGCGGCGCTGACGGGCACACGACAGCTGGAAGGACAAGACAATGCGTCGAGATCGGCCGCAGAGCCGTAGTCCGGACAAATTGATAACGATCGCTCGGTGCGCTCGCGCTCATGCTAATCGACACAAAGTCAAAGTCACCTGGCGACACTCGACGACGATCAATACAGCCGCAGCACGTGCTTCAAATACGTCCATTGTATGCCCGATGCGAGCGCGCGTGACGCGGCGCACATGCCGAATGTCGCGAAACAATACACGCATCGATAATCGCTCGTTGTTTAAGGAACTACGGGCGAAACGAAAGCTCTACACCAACACAATAATAAATGGTAATGTTGTCGAACATGTGGACGCGTGTCTTCATTTCAAATAAATCGACGACGATGATGAAATAGTACGTGAACGAAGCACAAACAATGGGAGAAGGTGACACTAACTGCGTGTGGTTACAATATTCCTGATAGCTGCGACCATTGTGCACTGTACGTTATGGTTTTAGCACCGAAGCGTGGGCATATCAAAGATGTCATGTGTATATGTTGTAAAGTAAATTTACTAGTGCGCGCAGTAAAAAATATAGGAGAGTAAAAAGGAAAAGGTGCGCCGACGGAAGTTGACCGACTATTAAGGCATGTCACGACGATCTACCGTCTACACTTTGCGCAGATATAGCAAAGTGCATGTTGCTTCACACGTTTACGCTGAACAAGACCTGGTACTTATAAGTTTTATGAAGTGTGAACAATGCACAAATCACAGCTTGCCGGGAAGTTCATTTATAAAAAAAATGATATTTTACGTTAATATGATCAGTTATGCTCAAGTAATGATTTGTAATATCGATTCGATTCGTGAGAGATCAACAGGCTGTTTTTGCGGAGTGAACCCAGCTCATTAAAATCGCTTTAAGCATGCGGAGATTTTCTATTTGGATTGGCGTTGTAAAGAACTCATTAGATCACGTTCGGTCAGAGCCCGGTGTGATCGACAATATGACGTAAGAAGTCTCAATAGGTGCTAACAAGATGTTGTTAGTGGGAGCTGAGACGCAACATCGATAGGTACTTGTTGCCGACCGTACTGCTTCATGGATTTCACCTTCAGTTCAGTTAATGGGAGAGAATCATGCGAATTTGCTCAAATATGTAAATTTAAACAATATGAACACATTTTTGGCTTACCATTTTTAATTATATCTATTAGTATTTTGATTAAGGTATTGGGTAGGGTTATAAATTAAGATATTAATTGGCAAAGTATCAAATTACTACCTACAATGGAGTCCTATTATCTGAATGTGCTTAGCTGCTTTGCAACTTCATATTCGAGTTACGGCAAAGGCTTCATGAAATCCCCTTGTTTTATTTTTTAAGTGCAAAGATATTAGACCTTTAGAAAACATAATTTATGCACAGTTTCTTAATACAAAACAGTCTTAATTACTCAGACGTTCATTCTTTTCCAATACATATTTGATTAAAGATAATTTGACAATAAGAAATGCAAAACAAGTTATTGTGTATTGTTTAAAAAATTAAAACGGACTTCAAACGAACACTGACAAGATAATTTAGAACATGCTAGAAATTCATACTAGTGAAAATGACAAATCCCATGAAGGGTCTGCAAGTGTACATAGTTACCATGTATCAAGTCGAATGTGTTGTGAGTCAAAGATTTCTCTTAGAATTGCTGACAGGTGTAGAGAGTAAAGATGCATTCGCTAAATTATGAACACACATTAATCAAACAAGCAGAGGTAACGGCTAGCTAGCGTGAAGCGTCCGAGTTCGAAACGTGCATGATTTAAGAACAGGGAGATGGTGTGAACAGTTATTACGTGGCAAGATTGTGTCGATCAAAACATCTCACTCCAGTGTTTATGCGGGCAATAAGAAAAAGAAATAAACCAGTTAGCTATCGCAGCTCATCAGAATATAATGGGAGGAGGCGCACAGACGTCTGTTTATTGGCGATGCCATTACGTGGGCATTTTGTACCACGACAGACGGAGGAATTATTTATTCAAGTGTTCAAGTTGTAAACATCTATTGTTTCACGGTTTTTTTTACTCAAGCTGACTAAGAAAGGTCACCTACGAATACGAAGCATTAAGAAAACAAACTTTTATAAACAAGTCAATTTTCATATAATAATGTAGTTGACTCATACTCACGTACAGACCTTACTTTGTTCGATCCGTAAACAAACAAGCTGTTGGAACATACTACATATTAGTCACACAATCTTGGAGCCTTATTTGTTGCTAGTCTTGCTACCATCAACTGATTTCAATACCTAGCATATGAGTATAACGAAGAAGTCCCAAGGTTTGTCGGCTGTCGTCTGCGATACTTGTTTATGTCTCCGTGTGATTTATTTTCTGTCTGAAGAGAGTAAGGTATCTAGCATAAGTTTTGCGGGATCTGCGGGTTCACGGATGCGAGGAGGTCGCAGCCAATGTCTCTCATTGTGCATTGTTTATCCGCGAATGGCGAGACGAAGGGCATTTCCTCTCTTCCCTAGCAAACTGACCATGAGAGCGACTAAGCGCGATCGACTGTATCGGTTCCTAAGAGTATTGTAGATCGTTTCCTATTTACGGTCCATTGATTATTAGGTAAATACGAGTAAGCACAGTAAGTAGCCACCATGTAACAAGAAGGTCGAGACCGTAATGGCGTTGTATAAGTGACCAGCTTCATGGATGGCTGGTCAGATTTACGCAATGCACCTTCGACGCAGTAACTATGAGTATTTTAACAAATGAGGACTGTAGTGTAGTAGGTATATGCAGCGATATTAATTATTTGCCAATAGGTGTAAGGTTGTGCCAGTGCCAGCTAGGCTCGAACGTCCGCTTTGATTTATGTAAATTGGGTACGCGCATCGTGCGTCGGGAAGCGGCATGAGTGCCGGCCAAGAACGCGTGACGGGATCTTAACTCTGTCGGCATACACTTCACGATTAGTTGTTACTTAGAACTCCACGCTAAAATAAATTTCAGACAACTCAATAAACTGCAATGCCAGAACTAGAAAATGTTGAAGCTTTCTGTAAAAGTGCATTGAATAAAGATTTTCTAGTAATTGGGTTTTGTATATATATAAATAACCCGAATATAGGTACTGTTATAATAAATATGTAGTTTTGAGAGTAGTGCTTTTGACCAAAAAGTAATTACACCGGTAAATTAATACATGTACATTATTAATTAGTACATGTAAGTAGAAAGTTGTCATTGTCAATTGCAGGAACTTGTAGTGATCGCGTCTGGACTATTGAAATGGGTAAGATAAATCTACCGCAGACGAGGAAGCTCCACCTATCAGAATTATTCAAATGTCATACAACGTTAACTGTGTAACGGTATCGGATGAAAGACTGCAAGTTAGGACTGAAGCAGGACCAAACTAGTATCCCTGGGGTCTCCCACGGGTGGAAATATTACCGTTGCATGGTAGGGCGGTCTCTGGTTGATTATTTATGAGACGGCCCGCGTGCGCCGCGCCCATACGTGCCACTATGACACTTTATTAATGACAAACTTGTTGCTAAGCTTTTTGTTATCACTATTAAATAATCTCGGGCCGTCCTTAGCTATGAATCGTATTACTACGAATAAAAAGGTACAATTGCGATGTTATCGTTTATATTAATGTTTAAACAAGCAATTGCACATGCACACTCAAGTTGTTATTGGAAGTATTTGTTTTGGACAACTAATATTGTGGTAAACGCAGCAATACTTACAAGTAGGACGAGTTCTATTCGGTCGGGTCAATGGTATCCAAGGCCTCTGTGGTGGTAGAGTGGCAGAAACTGAAACAAAATAAAAAGAATACGTTACTTTCAATGAGAACAAGGAGCTGATTCGTAACGAACTCGATATTTGATTTTGGTTTGCAAAAAATAAAGCAGATCTGGAACTGATTGTGGACGGAATAAATCATTTGTATGCATTCACAAAAACTTGGTGATATCATTTCGAGTTGTAAATCGTGCATGTATAATCATTACTGAAAGCTTTCAACATTCGACAGTAGTGGAATCTTCACAATATTTCGATGATTGCGATGTCGACGAAGGCGAGAACAAAAAGTTCTCACTTCATTTGCATCGTTGGTTTACATCTTCTGTCTACATTGCTGTAGGAACAAAGACATCTAAAAAACTTGTTCTATTGTTCTGTTCTGTATACGCAGCGAAACATCAATTCGAGCGAAAAATCAACAAGCGAGCGGTGGTCTATACTACAACGGTACCGGAACCGCATTTGCAAATACAGTATTGAGCAAAAACTTAATGACTCGCGTCGGAAAAATCATGAAAATAAAACAAATATGTATACCTGAATTTTATGATAAAGAAGCAAGAACGGAACTTTTTAATGTAAAAGAAACTGTGGGAAGTACTATAAGTACACCCGGTCCTACGAAAGGAATACAAAAAGATAGTAATTTTCTTTATTAAAAATTGAAGCTAGCAACTGTTACTAAACCAATTTACTTATTACATTAACATATTGATACTGTTGAAAGAAATTAATATCAGCCGTCGAGTCGCCTCATGTAAGATGTTATTACTCGTTCAGGTGATCGAAGAATTTCAAACCGTTCAATGGAGATTAATAGAACCGAATTTCGTATGTCCATCACTCACGGTGTGACGACATGGTACAAAAAACAAGGTGATTTACATAACTTGATGTATGGTCTTTAAGCCTTGGCTCGCTTAAATTGCTGAGACATCTGATAGTTATCTTTATTTTTGATCGATTGTTCAATGGAATATTGATGACAATTTGTGTTTGCTCGCAGCACGTAGTATATATTTCATTAACATGTTCCGTGCAAAAAAACCTTTTTTAAGGAATAGCTTACGAAACTAAATCATTTGAGATTAGTTCGACATTCGAATGCAAAATTAAGTGGAATGGTATTGTCGGGGCTTTTTGCTAAAGTTTAGTCGAAGCAACGGACCACGGCCACTCGTGCGTAAATCATAATATGAAATGTCCGTCGTTCTGTAATTATGTAATGGGTTTACTCTAACAGTGAGCTCACTTTTGATGCCCAGATAATAATCTACATCTTTTGAAAATTCTAATGAAAGTACTAATTTTAACATAAATTCGGTATATTTATGTTCGATAGAGATAATAAATATTGATAAGTACATACTACATTTGACCCTATTTTCCTATTTAGCTTTTATTACTACTTCACACTTTATATCAGTTCAGGTTTGTATTCACCGAAGCTTAATTCACATCAGTGAATGTAAACTTTGATATCCTGGAATTTTATGCAAACATCGTGTTTACTGCCTGTTTAAACCCTTTATCCTGAAGCGCAGTTACATCTTTACGGTATTTTTATGACTGTCTTTTGTTTTAAATAAATACATACGACATCTTTTTGCGTTAAGTAGGTACCTGTTGAGCATTTTAAAAGGCATTATAATGTGAAGTGTAATATGTTGAACTATGAGAAGCTTTAAGCGGTATTGTCACCTCAGCAAGTTATTGTGTATGGGGCGGCGGGCGTCAGAGCGGTGTCGCGGGCGGACGCGAGCGCGGGCGTCGTTGTCGCCTCATTACACTTTGTAATTAGGCCCGTGGGCTGCGTACGAGCCGCGGCCCTGCACTAAATCACGACAGGCCCGCTTTAACATGCGCGACCGACGCAACCGGCGTGGCGTCCCCAACACCCATAATCCATACCGACACAATGGTTGTTTATGGATGTGTTATTGAATATTAAGCAGCGCTAAAAAAGCTGTTCCGTCTGCGGCGTGTGAGTGACGCACTTTACATATTTTGAGATAAACAATGTTGTACCTATCTTGGGTTGGGTGCGTCTAACAAATCGCGACCGAAGCGAAAAATATAAAGATTTTTTTCGTAATAACTTTCTCGAGAAGTCATCGATTCTCTTCAACTCGTCACGATTTCCGACAGCACTAACAAGACAAGACAGGCACAAACAAAGTGGTGTTAGGAGCGACAAGGCAACGTGGCGGCGGCGAGTGAAAGTCGAATGCACTACAGCCACTAGATAGGCTAGCTGTGATAAGCATCGACACGCTCTTCACATTGTTCGCGCTCCGATACATGAGATAAGGCTTTCTCTGTTCTTCTCTCAAGAGCTACCGTGAGAACGCCCCTTGTATCATACGACTTGACATTTGCAAAACAGGAGCGTTCTTTATCTGATTGAATATTAACATAGCTACTATCAGTCATATCAGCAATTTAAAACAAATGACTTGAGATGTTACTTGCCGGATTATGGACAATCGGCTTTACAAAGTAATTTTTCATGTTGTAAGCAACGCAGAAGGTAAACAGATAATGAATTTAACCCCATCGAAAATAAAATACACGTATGTAGCTAAATTATCGATAACAAACAGATAAAGAAAGTACGTATCAAAGGCGCCGAGGCCACAGGGTTAATCAATTCCATGCAAAACATTTTCAGTCCATTGACTATCGTATCTTCGCTAGACGCCGAGGAGCCGATCGAGCTAAAACCGGTATCCTCTGTTGCATCACCTTTAAGAGCAAATATTGTATTGCAATCTATTATCTCTTGTGTATTGAGTCTTGTAACAATCTTGAAAATTTGGTGAGATTTGAAAAACTACAAACCGAAATATTTTTTTTATATTTTGCGCACGATTCAAATAAAGGACCTCTTAAGCACATACGTGACCAAACCTTTTACTCATCGGCATTGTCTCTCGGCGTTATTTTATCAGCGAATATACAGAAAATACAGTCGCTGAGTATGTCATGTCGTCTGCGTGATCCGACTCTACAACTCCGGTAAATACTGTCACTCCGGACATTTATATGATGCTGCTACATTTATCCATTTTAGTAATGTGACATTAATGAATGATATGTTTTCTGCATTCAATAGGCGCGTACGACGTTTTATGCAGGACAAATTCTCGACGCACTTATCCATCGAGTTGTTCGACGTGTGTAATGCATAGCTTCACGATGCACGAGTTTACATGCAATTTGCTTTTAGGCGAGAATACAGAACAAATAAACATGAAACAAAATAAGAGCTGTTTCAGCTGGACGAGAATCACATTGAAATAGTCTATTGATTTTGTTGCGAGCTTGGTGAGCTCAGGCAAGGCTTTCATCAAGTGATTTTACGATTATGTTCATGGATTGCGGTTAGGTAAGACTTAGTGCTATGTATTTTTACTGTCGAACGAATAGACATGAACCATTTCGTGGATATTCGTGAGGCTAAGGAACTAGACGAGAAAAACAATACATATGACTAAGCTAATTCTGGAAACTTATTCCACTTAAGATTTTCACGCGAATTTTGTACACAATATACGTATCACTGGTGCGATAACCTCTGCCAGTGATTTTATCAATGCGACGAAAACATCACACAATAAAATTTTCGAGAAAAGTGTATGGCGTAAACATTTAAAGTAGGTAGTATGCCTGCAGATTCAATAAAACTACATGAACATGAAGAGCCAATCAGAATTGACAACATTTTAACAAATTCCCTTAGGAAGATCGAACAATCTTGTAGGATCTAGATAAACATGTATAATAGTTTCAAAGGGCATCTACTCGTACAATACGTGTAACAAAGTTGTTTATTGCGAATATATTGTAAATATAATTGTATATAGGGGGTGAAAAGGCGAGTTACGTAACTGGGAGAGTAAATAAACGTGTGTTTATGCCAGCAGATGTGCTATCGTCTAACAGGTCGGTTGGCGCACGCCCGGCGCGGCGATGATGGCGGTGGGCAGCATTTACGACCTACCTACCGATTATTGCAATTGACCCAAATGGACTCCGTTGATCTGTGAAGTATCACTTTAATAAGTTTTAATAGATCACGAGTGGCGGTGTATTTTTTTTACTTTGTACCGTTCTCTAAGCTATCCACTAACCAAGGATAGATATATATTGCCTAAGTACTTTAACCGGATAGGTTTATGATGAACTACACGGAAGACGTGTTTGTTTATTATTTTTGCCTGCAGTCGAATAATCATTTTGATTTAACATGCCCAGCAGGGGATGGCGGCACTCTTTTGTTTTTTATTTCTCATCCAACACATTATTTTACTCAATATAAAATTAATTTCTTCGAATAACTCCATAAAAACGTAACATGAACACGCGCAAGATATTTTTAAATAAGTAGACTATTATTCTAGCTCCGTCTAAAGATGTGGTGTTTTAATTTAATATGGTTACTTTTTTGTACGATGTTAAGTAAAACATTTCGTGGTATGGACACAATGAGTTTTTTGCGTAGACTCTAATTTCTGTGGTAAGTACGCTGTGTAGCCACCGTATTTGCCCACGCGCAAGTGTGTCCTCCTGTGCGACCGTTCACGGCCAAGGCCAAACAGATAATAAACGCGTAATGACGAACGATGTGCTACCGAGCAAAAAAACGTGCGCGCATGCCCACGTGGGGAGTCTTTACAAACCTCTTACATCATTTAATGACTCGGAAAATTACAACTAATAATTACAAATGAGAATTTTTGCGTGACCCGAGCTGTCACAGGCACAGATTAAATGAAAAAATAACTATAACTATTTTGTAAATAATTTATGTGGCTGTGTCATCCACCTGAGAATACAAATCACCATCAGATAAATGTTGGCTGTAAGTGGCTACTGACTACTGTACGAGTGCTTCATTTAGAGAGACAAGGAACCATCTAGGAGGGCGATGGCCGTCGTAAATCACAGCCGCGCTCACCTCTGTCACTAATGGACTCCTGTCAACTAGGCAATCGTACGACATAAT